TGGGGTCTGTTGGGGGGAAATGGGGGAGGGGCGGGGGTGGGGAGGTGGGAAGAGATAGCATGGGGAGAAATGACAGATACAGGTGAGGGGACGGAAGGCAGCAAAGCACACTGCCATGTGTGTACCTATGCAACAATCTTGCATGTTCATCACATGTACCCCAAAACCTAAAATGCAATAAAAAAAAAAAGAAAAAAAAAAAAACAAACAAACAAACAAAAAAAAAACGTGTGTTAGAAACCAGTTTATTTTTGCATCTTTCTGTATTAAGCCATCCAAAATGCCTCAGACTTTGTAGATTATTGCCCACTGAGAAGAAATATACCACCACACTACACTTACTGGCAATACAGCACACTGCAATTACTTGGAGTGGCTCCATAATCATTACTTAGCAAGAGATGCAAGAAACAATAATCTGATAAAATCTTGGCCACCAAGGAAGTCTCTGGTGCTGCCTTTTCTGTATTCTCGTAATATATTTTCTAAGCTATATAGAAAATCTATTATTTGCATGATCTTACTGTTTATTTGTTCAAAACACACACAAACGCACACACATGGGTACATACACACACACAGACACACGGACACACACCCCAAGCTGGACTATAAACTCACCAGGAAGAAAATAGTATTTTTGAATTAGTTTATCCTCTATGTTGAATGTTCATTTATTTTTCTACCTGATAAACTATTATGAATTATTGAAGATTCACTGAAGAAGTCTTCTCTTATCCATAAGTAGAGTTTCCCGTCCAACTCTATGGTTTCCCTATTTTGGTGCTTATCAGACACCATATTGAAATTTTCCATTTGTATGTCTGCAGCTTCCTCAAAGATAGTGCTCTTGTTTTATTTACCATTTTATTACTAGTCACTATCACAGCTCTCAGCACATAAAGTGCATTTACTCTCTCTCTCTCTCATTCAAGAATTGGATAAATATAAGGAGAGAGATGTTTTAATGATTCAAAACTGAATTAATGAGTATATGGTAAAAAAGTACTTTGATCAGGCGTCATATGTTGATAAAAATTTTGTTATCACCTACTTACATTATTATTAGTCTTTAGTTCATATTAGAAACCAGTATATGTTTAAATGTTAGTCTCATAAAAATGATTTTTATTACAAATTTAGAACAAATTATACCTTTCTTACCAGATAAACTCACAAGCTAGTGTTTAGAAGTAAACCTCCAACAATGTATGTGTGTGTGTGTGTGGGGGGGGTTTCCTTCAAATATGTTCTGTACATATACAGGGATATTCTGTAACATATCTGTATTCTTTAACAAAACTGAGCTATCTTAGTATCACAGAAGAGAATCCTGGATATTGATTAGATAACTTTCCCAAAGGGAAGAAGCATGATCCCATATATTTGTAATAAATGTCATATTTCTTTATATATGCATATAGTCCAGTAGGGCAGGCAGAACACTAACTGATCAGCAGATACCTTGTCTATCAGAACTGGGAGACCAGACTCTAATTGTCCCTTGCCTCAGATCTCCCCTATAATAGCTTACAATGGAGACTGACAAACTTTTGTGCTTTTCAGTAAATGCACAGAAACGGAGAGCAGGACAGATTTGTCTCCCCTGCCCTTGTCTGCAGACCTTTTTCCTATAATATCACCAGCTTTTTATTTCTAAAATCAGAGCTGGCCAGGCATAGTGGCTCACACCTCTAATGGCAGAACTTTGGGAGGCCCAGAAGGGCTGATCATTTGAGACCAAGAGTTCAAGACCAGCCTGGCCAACATGGCAAGACCCCATCTCTACTAAAATTACAAACTTTAGCCAGGCCTAGTGGCCCATTCCTGAAATCCCAGCTACTTGGGAGGCTGAGGCATGAGAACCGCTTGAACCTGGGAGGCAGAGGTTTAAGTGAGCAGAGATCATGCCACTGCACTCTAGCCTGGGCAACAGAGCAAAATTCTGTCTCAAAAAAAAAAAAAAAAAAAAAAAAATCAGGGTTAATGCAAATATCACTCATTCTTAAGAACACAATGTGAAGTGAGTTACAATATGTATTACATGTTATTACCATAAATTTTATGTATTTCTTTTCCTACAGTAATGAGTATATGTACACACACACACAAACATATGGATAAAATATAATTTCTAATAATCAGCTTATGGTTTCCCATAAAATAACTCTTTCAATAGAATCTTGCCTGAAACCACATAGTACAGAGAGCTGAAACTTAACTCTGTCTTGTCCTTTTTCTCTACTACTTTCATATATTAAATTTTTGTCCCTCAACCATACTTATCTCAGTAAGAGAACTTAAGAATGTTAACTTTTCACCATTCCCATCTTTCTTCTGAAACCCCAGAAGAACTTTTGACTTGTCCTCAGCTCGCAGCTTTTTCTTCAAAAATTCCTCTATGCCTCATGATTCTCACATAGATTAAGTGACATCTTTTTACGGTATTACAAAAAATATCCATTCATATTAACTCAGTGTTCAAACACACACACACACACACACACACACAAACACACACACACACACACACACACACACACGCCCCTATTCCAAAGTTCACTGATAACATTTTTCCTCTCCTTGTCATTTTCCTTTACTTTTAGACCTTTATTCTGATTTATTTAAACTATTTTTACTTTCAATTATTTTCTCAAATGTTTTTCTAAATTAGGTAGGAGAATAATAGACCTTCCAGATCCTTCTCCAAATATTTATTTTCTCCTAGCAGATGGATCAGATTTGTCCGGACAATAGATCTGGAGTTTCAGTGTTTTCTCTGTGAGGCTATAAATGAGACTCAACTTTCTATCAGATTCCTCTATTTCATGTAATAAATGTAAGGGGAACATATTTGTTTTTAGTCCTAGCTAATTTTAAAAAATCTGAATGTCTATAAAATTTTCTTTTTTTTTTTTTTTTATTAGGTTGTGAAACCTTACTAGGGTTTTTCTGTTTGATTCTTATTCTATTAACTCTTTCTGAAACTCAAAACTACTAAACTTGTAAAGTCAGTATATTGTTCACTTCAAGAAAAATTATGATTGGTCCTTTCCTCCATTTGCTCTTTATTTTTCTCTAGGAATACATGCTATTCACACAACAGACCTAATGAATATATTCTCTAAATCTCCTTTCTCTTTCCCATAGTATGCATAATTTTATGTTTTTGTTATATGGCTATTAGCTACTTCTTCCAGTCAGGTATGATTTTAGGTACCAGGACAATAATTCGAGTCTAATCAGTGACCATTCATGCCTTCAATCTATATGTTCATTTTCTTTATTGTTGTTATTTACTTATTTGTTTAAAACAAAAGGCTTTGAGTTACAGAAATCTGTTTGTGGTGTCCACAAAAGCCCTCCAGTGCTCATATTAGCTACTGTTTAGTACACTGTTTTTCTGGTTAATTCCTGTTCTACCTGTTTTTCTCTGTAATGCTTTACCCACTATGATTATGACAGTTTCTTTTGTGCTCCTTGGGGCTTTTACCTGTTCTGGAAATAGCTCACCAGGGGCACTCTCACAAGTTGGGGGCACCATCAAGCTCCTTGCCTTCCTAAATCAGAAAATTAGATTGGTGGGTGTCAGTGCCCTGATGAGGCAGAGAGAATTCTGTCCTTGAGTTCTCATGCAAACTCTCACCCACCAGGGTTAATCATGCTAAAGCCTTTAATTCCCTCAACTCTCCTTGGAGATCAATAAGCTTGAGAGTATTCTGGACCTGTTGTAGGCTTCTGCAGGTTGGTTCCTGTGTTCTGCTGTGGTCCAGAGAGAACGAGTTTGGCAACTGCTTTCTCCCCTGAGACTTCAGCTATGAAGAAGACCTCACTATCTCTTCCTTAACAGCTCCTACAGTGGCTGCAGGAGCTACCTGCCTAGCTGAAGAAGACTAACATAAGCTGGAATCTGGAATTGAGAATAAGATGCTACCATCTTTCACTAAAAAAAAAAAAAAAAAAAAAAAAAAAAAAAAAACTATCTATCTATCTATCTATCTATCTATCTATCATCTGTATTTCAAATTAACAGGCTGATTTGATTAGTGACTCTAAGAGCCCTAATCTAAAACCAACTCACATATATACAGTAAAACTAAATATATAAAATCTTTACTCAATAAATGTGTTACAAAGATTAGAGTCTCACAAAGATAGCCAAAAATTATCGTAGAAAAATGTCATTTTAATTACCTTTTTAAAAATCATCACATTGGATGAAAAATAAACAAAAATAAGTTAAAATAGCTACACCACAGAAATCGGTGAGTGGTGGGAAATTCCCACACTATTAGAGGACTCAAGCCCTGGATCATGATTGTATTGGCTGCAGTGCAGGCTTTGCATTCAGTTGAACCTGGAATAATGCCTCCTTGGCTATTTTCTAAATACGTGAATTTGCAGAAGTGATTGAAATATTTTATGCCAGTTTGCATATGTTTAAAATGATACTCAAAATGCTTCACGGGTTATATATTTTTAAATAAATAAGGTATGTAAATGCTTAGGAATATCTGAAAAGTTTTATTGATTAATGTAGCAACAGCTCCTATTAATGGTATTATAAGTAGGCCATACATTAAAAGCTTAAAAGACCTGCAGACACAAATTTGAGACACTCTATAATCATTCGTCTGTGCAAATAATCAAATTGAATGTGTTGGTATGTTCTTAACAATATATATGTAGAATTTATGTGATAGAAGAATCATATCAATTAAGCAATTATTTCAGGTGTTTTTCAATTTATAAATGTTTCTTTCCCCTTGAGATCCAACTATTATCTACACTTAAATGATTAGAAATTGATTTCAACAAATACTATAATTGCTAGGCTCAATAGTCTTTAACACTTTATGCCATAAAAATACTAAAATATTTTGAAATTTCATATTTATAGCCCCTACAGATACATATGCAAATAAAAATTGGTCTTCTAAAGATGACTATGATTTTCAAAAATATGTTAATTGCACAATCATAAAAATGATTTTTCTTACCCATGTCTGACATTTCAGGCACAGTAACAATGTATGGTCCATCTGTGAATTTCGGAGCATTGTCGTTGATGTCTTGCACTTTGATGATGAACTCAGATTCAGGTTCAAGAGGTTTGTTTGTACGTCTGTCAATAGCTTGAGCGTGAAGCACATAGTGGGTCTTCTGCTCTCTGTCCAGGCTTTTGGTTGAGTGGATATCACCCGTGGTATCGTCAATGATAAATATAGTCCCAGCACCCTCTCCAGTAAGGATGTACTTGACAGATCCATCACCTTTGTCAGAATTGGAGTGCAGCTGTGAAACACACATGGAATAATTTAGTACGTATTTATATTTCAACCTCACATTATGTTCTCTGAAAACTCCCTAACTATAATTACTTTGACTATGACTTTTCTTACCTTTACAGCAAGCTGTGTGCTACTATAATATTTACTTTTCTACAGTTTTTTTTTGACTTGCTTAATAATATGGATATTGCTATCATGGTTTGTCTAAAGCATCCAATTATTGATTTAAGAAAAACTAGTAAACAATATTTATTAAAATAAAGTTAGCCCCTGTAATTTTACCAAATCAACATTCCACTAATTACCATAAAGCTGGGAAAATAAATTTCCAGTAGATTACTGTTTCCTCCCATACTTGTGAAAATAATGTATTTTGTTTTAATTACTTGACATTCTATTTCAATTTTAAGACTAAAAGAAAAATATATGTTAGGACAAATTGAGATTCAAATTAATTATGAAAATTTTCATAAAACATTTAAGTCATAGTCACAGTTATGTATTTAATAATTTGGAAAAAATGAAATCACTTCTAATATAAAAGACTGATGTAGAATACAAAAAACACTAGGGATAGAGGATATTTTTATTTAAGGACTATAAAACTTAACTCAAAATTTAAATAGCAGTAACATATTTAGTCCATAAATAGGCCCTCATTTTAATTAATTGAAATACAGTAACACATCTACACTTATTGAAATTAAAAGCATCAAATATTCTTTGATTAGGTATTAGAAAAGTAAGGATTCATTAGAGATATTCAATAAGAAAAATACTTAAAATATTAAGATAATACACTTTGTTGTCATGCAAACAAAGTATATGCTTTAAACTGCATCTAGTTTTTACTTAAGATTCCGCTGTAACACCAAGATTCACTTAAATAGTTTCATGTGTACCAGTGCCATATTTCTAGCTAGAAATAACAGCAGTATTTTCTCAGATCACAAATACATTTTTAAAGGATTGTTTCTCCCAAGTGTTCTGAACAGTTATCCTTTATATTAAACCTGTTTGGTCACATAACCTCTATGACTTACCTTTTTCTCATTTCTGCCACGTAGAAACACTGAAAAAACACAACCTTGTTCACATAGCATTTCAGTTTTCTTGCCATAGTAACGTGAAAATTTTTGAGGTTTTAAAGTCTGAACTCTCAGAAGACATTTAGAAAAGGCCAAATACAGAAAAAGACAATGCAATATGTGAAAAAGACTTTTTCTGGAAAAATTAGGGCAACTGAAACCCAAATGATAGTAGGGGAATAATTTTACTTCTTTCTTGAAAATGTGAAAAATTACAAGGACAAAATTTTGAGAGAGATCACAGAGTAAGATACAACAAATAAAACTATTTACAAATGCTTATTTAGATCTTTTATACAAATGAGCAAAAATACATCAGCCAATTATGAAAAACACAGCTTTCAAAGATTCACACTTCATTAGTAAATTGGATACTAAAAGGAGAATGCAGAATAAATTGAGTGATATAATTGTATCGATGTATGAAAATGTGTTTATTTATGTATCTTAACATCCTTTTAGTATCTAGAAGAAAAGATTCATCTTTCATGAAGCAGATACCCACAAAGTATCAGTAGAGCAACCTATTTCATATTCTCTAACTTCGCATCAATCCATGACCAAAACATAGCAAAGTAAATCAACATATTCATTTACCAAATGTTTCTAAAACCTTTTCTAGAATATTTGTCATTAAACTAACAAAAGGTGAGATTGTTTGGTAATTATTATGTTGTTATACTATACATATATTATAAATCTACATTTCGTAGTTATAACTATTTAAAACATTTTTTCAGAATGTGTTATGCCTTTAACAATTTCAAAAAGTATAACTGATGAAAATTGACTTTCATCTTCAGGATATATATGTGTGTGCATGTGTGTATATATATAAATACATTTCATCTTCAGGATATATATGTGTGTGTAGGTGCATACACTTATAAATATACTTAAGTATATGTAATATGAACCTGTACAATTAGTGTAATTTTATATTACTATATTTTGTTAGTAATCAAAAACTAAGTGCTATAAAATTAATTTCACTAAAATATAAAAGAGTTTGTTATACTAAGTGTATAGTTAGGTATATATTACAGATACCTAAGTATATTTAAAGAAGAATAGGCTGAAGTACATAAAAGAAATAGTAAAGGTTTTAACCTATGGCATCTATTTAAAAATTTATATACTATACACTGTACACAGATTCTAGTAATTCACATGTAAAAATAAAAATAATTTTATGGCTATCAATTTTAAGACTTGAATCTGTCTCTACATTTATAACACTTTTATAATTGATACATATTTTTTATAATTAAGAAACATAGCTTTTATAATAACCAATAAACAGCATAAATGCTTCAGAAAATAGGAATAATTTGAACATAAATTGTAATAAGATCAGCAAATTATAATTCAGTAACATTTATATTGTTGGATAACATTACACCAAATATCATATTTATATTGTTGGATAATATCATGAAACTTACACCAAAATGTCTTAAAAATGTATTTGGATTATGTTGCTTGCTAAGAATATTTTGCATGAGTTTTTAAATAATGTAGATGATCATTTTATTAATGAAATTTTAGTCTCTTGGCTAGCCTGGTTAATCCTGAAATAATCAGGTTCCCATTTAACACAAATGGGAAACCACTGTAGTAGTTATTTAGGTGTTAATAGTTTATATGATTATGATGATAACCACTTTTGAAGTAGCAAAATGGTTTACTCTCCAGATTCCCTCTCCTCCACCCCATTTATTCTCAAATCTCAGTTCTGTTTGCAATATACACTTTGCAACAGGAATGGAGCCTGAAAGAAACCTTGACTACCTTCTCTTGATTTTTGTTTTTTTAATAAATGGGTTTTAAGACTCAAGAGAAGTGTTTTATTAAGTTGTGTAAGTCAAGAAATGACAAATGAATGAAATCGGCGAATAGTAAAGGTAGTCGCAGGCAAAGAAAACTTGAGAAATGGTGAAAAACTTCTTTAATAGAGACAATCTGGTTAGGATTATTATGATGATAGAAATATGTCATTTCTGAGTAAGGTCACCAATGAGACATCAAATGAAAGAGATTGAAAAAGAGATTTTCGCGCCAAAGTTGGCCGCGCGCCGTGGTGTATCCAGCGGGCTCAGTGCTCACTGCTGCTGTCGTGGTTCAGTTGCTAAACTGCATCGTTGTTGTGTCCCAGAACATGGGCATCGGCAAGAACGGTGACCTGCCCTGGCCGCTGCTCAGGAACGAATTCAGGCATTTCCAGAGAATGACCACAACCTCTTCAGTAGAAGATAAACAGAATGTGGTGATTATGGGTAGGAAGACCTGGTTCTCCATTCCTGAGAAGAATCGACCTTTAAAGGATAGAATTAATGTAGTTCTCAGCAGGGAACACAAGGAGCTCATTTTCTGGCCAGAAGTCTGGATGATGCCTTAAAACTTACTGAACAACCAGAATTAGCAAATAAAGTAGACATGATTTGGATAATTGGTGGCAGTTCTGTTTATAAGGAAGCTATGGATCACCCAGGCCATCTTAAACTGTTTGTGACAAGGATCATGTAGGACTTTGAAAGTGACACGTTTTTTTCCAGAAATTGACTGGGAGAAATATAAACTTCTGCCAGAATATCCAGGTGTTCCCTCTGATGCCCAGGAGGAGAAAGACATTAAGTACAAATTCGAAGTATATGAGAAGAATGATTAATATGAATGTGTTTTCTGATCTAAGCTGTTCCTTCTCCCTCTGAAAAAAAAAATTATGTATTTTTACATTAGAAAAAAAGACTTTTTTTTCCTTCTACAAGATCTTACGGACGCTTTTCTCTCTTATCTTTTTCTTCCCCTTTTTATCTCTTTCTGAAAAAAAAAAAAAAAAAAAAAAAAAAAAGACTTATTGACTTTAGATCTGTGGATAATTATTCCTAAGCAATGTGTTTGTATTCTCCACTAATCTTTTTGTTTGTTTGTTTTTGTTTTTTTTTTCTTGCTGTACACCACTATTGACTTTATACATACTTTACACTTTCCCCACTAATCTTGGCTGTATCAGATACCATTTATGGAACATTCTTGCTGTAACTAAGTGCCTATCCAAGACCCGGACTGAGTCCCCAGCACCTGCTACACGGTGAGCTGCCATTCCACACCCATCACGTGGCACTCTTGCCCATCCTTGACATTGCTGAGCTTTTCAAATGTTGGTAGTATTTATTAAAGATGAAGATGCACGTACCCTTCAACTGAGGATTTTCACTAGTGGGAAATACCAAAAGCTTCCTGCATGTATATCCAGAGGTTTGTAGACAAACCTTGTTTGTAACAGTGAAAAATGGAAAACAACCTGGAAGTCCAGTGAAAGCAGTTTATTTGCTAGGTCATACTAGAAATCATCAATTGAGGTAGGGAGAAATGGAACTGAGTAGGTAAGAAAACCAGTTTAAAATCATTGAGCAGGTTCTCATTGGAAACAAGCTCCATACTGCTGAGATACAGAGAAACAAGGGAGAAAGCTGGAGTGTTGATCCCCCACTCCTTGGTTGTCAGCTCCCTTTCTTGTGTGTGGGTGGAACGTACTCCAGATGCTCTATAGCAAGTCCCAGGTGTTTGCAGTAAAAAGCTGCTGGCATGCACAGGAACAGTGAATGCCAAACACTTAAGGCAACTGTATGTTTAAGTATGTAAGCTCTTCCTGCTTTTTTTGTTTTTGGTAGATAAGAGTTTCACTGTTGTTGCCCAGGCAAAGTGCAGTGGTGCAGCCTTGGCTCACTGTAACTTCTGCCTTCCCAGGTTGGAGCAATTCTCCTGCCTCAGGCTCCCAAGTAGCTAGGACTACAGGTGGACACCACTTCGCCCAGGTAATTTTATATTTTAATGGAGACAGTGTTTCACCGTGTTGGCCAGGCTGGTCTCAAACTCCTGACCTCAAGTGATCTGTCTGCCTTGGCCTCCCAAA